TTCCATTTTCTTTCTTTTTTCCTTCCTTCCTTCCTTCCTTCCTTCCTTCCTTCCTTCCTTCCTTCCTTCCTTCATTCCTTTCCTTTCCTTTCCTTTCCTTTCTTTCTTATTTTGGAGATAGGTTCTCACTCTATATATAGCTCTGGCTGTCCTGGAACTTACCATGTAGACTAGGCTAGCTTCCGACTCAGAGAGATCCGCCTGCTTCTGCCTCTTGAGTCTGGGATTAAAGGTGTGTGCCACCACTGCCAGACACTTTTTCCTTTCTTATACAGACCATGATCTCCTGCCTAGGGAGTGTGCTGCCCACAGTAGGTGGGTCTTTCCACATTAATTAACATAATCAAGATAATCCCCACAGACATGCTCAAATGCTCAACAAGATCTAGAAAATCCCTCATTGAGACTCTCTTCCCAGGTGTTTCTAGATTGAATTAAATTGATAGCTAAAATTAACCACCAAACTGCCCACTGATCATTTTAAACAATCTCTCTGTTATAAATCATGCCACTATACATATGTGGAACTGCCTCTGAATCTCAGTCCTGTTTCATTGATCTATGTCCTTTTCCAAACTAATATGTGGTTAGTGTAGTTCATAGTGAGTGTTGATATTTGGTATGGCATAGGTTTCTTATTCAAAACTATCTCAATTATCCTTGGATCTTCATGCTTTCAGAACTATGGGATGGCCTTGTCAGTTACATGCAAATCTGATATTGATCAGAATTATATTAACCATGTAGATTTACCTGGTGATAGTAAGCATATTATGGTATTAAATAATTTCCTTTTAAGCCTTCAAAATTTTTTAGTTTAAAATGTTTAATTTATTTTATGTGTTTGTATGAGTACCTGTGTATATGCAGGTTGTAAGCTGTGGGTGCTAGGAATTGAACCCACATCCTTTGTAAGAGAAGCAGGTGTCTTTAATTGCTGGGCCATCTCTCCATCCCTGATTGTGTACATTTCTTAAGGAAAGGTTTTGATTCCTTTGTCTGATATATTTCTATCTGTAGATGTCCAGTCGTCTTATGGTCAGTGTGAATAGCATCTTTTATTTTATATATTATGTATTATGTGATATAATATATTGCCAATGTTTCGATTCTTGTATATTGACCTATATCAAGGATTTTTTGAAGCATACTTTCAATTTATTTATTTATTATTTTTATGTGTATGGGCATTTGTCTGCATGTATGTCTTGGGCACCATGTTTATGCCTGCTACCTGCAGAGGTCAGAAGAGGCCACCAGATTCCATGGAGCTGGAATTACCACAGAGATGGTTGTGAGCTGCCATGTGGGTACTGGGAATCAAGCCTGGGTCTTGGGAAGGGCAGTCATGCTCTTAACCACTGAGCCGTCCCTGCAGTCCCTGTGTCAGGAGTCTCGTTGAACCTTCCCTGTCTGTCTCTCTCTCTCCCTCTCTCTAATGGCTTGTAGAGTTTGATAGCACCAGAATACTTTTGGTATGTGTATGTATATGTGCATGTTCATGTGGGTGCATGTGGAGACCAGAGGCCAACCTTGAGTCTCATTCCTCAGGACAGTGTTCACACTGTTGTTTGTGACAGGGTCTTTCACAGTTACTTGGAACTCCCCGATTAGGCTGGAGTGACTGGCCAGCAAGCGCTAGAGATCCTTTGGTTTCTGCCTTCCCACTGCTGGGATTATAGACACATCGCTACGCTTGGCTCTCTTTTTATTTTGTACTTTTAAAATGCGGGCTCTAGGGGATTAATTCAGGTCTTTATGTGTGCGTGGTGGGCATTTTACTGACTGACCTAACTCCCCAGCACAATTTTTAAATTAAAAATGTACTGACTAGGATTTCAAACACAACATTGGTTGACAGTGGTGGTCAGTGGTGTCCTTCTTCAGGTGTCTGACTAGGATGCCAAGCTGTTAAGACGTCACATTCTATTCTTACTATACTGAGAGATTAGTCAGGAGTGGACACTGAGTTTCACTGAGCAATCTCTTTTTAATTTATTTGTTAATAGTTAATTTGTGTATATATGGTGTGTGTGTGTGTGTGTGTGTGTGTGTGTGTGTGTGTGTGTGTGTGTGTGTTAATATGTGTGAATATGGGCACTGTGGGGTTAGAGGACAACCTCAGGTGTTGGTCCTCACCTTCCACCCTGTTTGAGACAGGGTCTTTTTCCTGTTCTCTGCTGTCCAGGCTAGCTGGCCCATGACCCTCCAGGGACTCTCCTGTCTCCATCTCCCATTTTGCTGTAGGACTGTTGGGATTACAGATACACACAGTAGGCTCTGGGGATTGAACTCAGGTCCTCAGGTCCTACTGAGCCATCACCCAGTTCCCCCTAGTGGATGCTTCCTTAATATACCACTGCCGATATCATTCCTCTCATTTGTTGATACAGTAAGTTATACTTACAGGGTTTTCAAATTTAAACCATTCTGAATTTTAATTTACTTTATCCAGCCTGTGTTGCAAAATACTTCACCTCTCAGACTGGCAAAAATTTGAGACTTTGGGGGCTGGAAAGACGGTTCAATAATGAAGAACACTGGCTGACCCACTGGGGGCTTCCCATTGGACTCCCAGCACCTACATTGTGGGTCACAACCCTCCACAACTCCAGTTTCAGGGAATCAGATGCTCTCTTCTTGTCTCTGTGGGTACTGGGCATGCACATGGTGCACATATATACATGCAGGCAAAATACCCACGAAAAATGAAAAAAAGAAATTATTTGTATATTATATGTGTTGTATTGTTCTGATGTTGCTTCTCTTGACTGTGGATATTGGGTCTTTTGATGTGGAGTAGCTGTTTTGTTTTTTTTTTTTAAAGATTTATTTATTTATTATGTATACAGTGCTCTGCCTGCATATGTCCCTGCAGGTCAGAAGAGGGCACCAGATCTCATTACAGATGGTTGTGAAGCCACCATTTGGTTGCTGGGAATTGAACTCAGGACCTTTGGAAGAGCAGCCAGTGCTCTTAACCTCTGAGCCATCTCTCTAGTCCCTGATGTGGAGTAGTTTTAATTTTGATTCCTTTAATCGTATCAACTTGTACCAATTATGTTAGCTTTCTTCACAAAGAATCCCCTCCTTCACCGGGTGGTGGTGCACGCCTTTAATCCCAGCCCTCGGGAGGCAGAGCCAGGTGGATCTCTGTAAGTTCGAGGCCAGCCTGGTCTACAGAGCAAGATCCAGGACACTCAGGAATATACAGAGAAACCCTGTCTTGAAAAACTGGAAGAAAAAAAAAAAGAATCCCCTCCTTCTGATGTTGATTTAGGACATCTTTGCCACACACCAAGTTTTCCTGTATATGTGGATCTACTTTGGAGTTCTAGTTTTCTACCCTACTGTTCCATTTGTCTAGCTTTAGGCCATTGCCACACTATTTTATGTTCTTTATTTTAATTAGTTAAATTGTTGTAAATTTATGGTATTTGTTGTAGTATGTTGTGATATATAATACAAAATATGTTGTAAAATATGTAAATGAGTCTCATGTGGCCTGAGCTGGCCTGGAACTCACTGTGTAGCCAAGGATGACCTTGAGTTTATGATCCCCATGCTGCCTCATCCCAAGTGTTGACATTACAGTGTGTCAGATTATTTTAAATTCTGACTCTCAGGAATGCATTCCCATACATGGTGTAAAAAATAGTTGTTACTCTTTTAGGACTTTAAAACATAATTTACTCCATTTTTAATTTTTTATTTATTTTTGAGAAGTTTATACCATGTATTTTGATATATTCTTTCCCCTTTCCCAACTCTTCTCCGCTGCCACCAAAAACATGGAGTCTGATTTATGTTGGCTGCTGCTCCTGAGCACGAGGCCTGCCTTTAAGTGTGGGCGACATACTCGATGTCACTCCATGCTACCCTCCAGCAGCCACTGATTCTTGGGGGGGGGACTCTGTCCTCCCTCCCTCCCCCTTCTCCATTCTGGGATTTTGGATTTTAGACTCTTCTCCATGATTCCTTGGGGTTTGCTCCTTGTGAGTGCCGAATGCTAACTGCATCACCAGAGTTTCTCATCTGCTCCATTGGGTCAGACGGAAACTCTTCATGCAAGATCTTTGGTGGTTTTAGTAAGAAGGGCACAGCATCCATGAGTTTATTTTGGAAAACTCTTGTCTTTACAGTTCTGTAAAGACTCTGAAAGGAGCCTTCCCTTTGAGCAGGGTCTCGTGCAGGCAAGGAGTGAGCTGTGTAGTTGTTGGATGGGAAGGGGACAGGCAGAAGCTATGTGGTGAGGCCCAAAGGCTGGAAATAATCCTATTTCTTGGAGCTGGGAACAGGCATGTTGAGTTGGATTCACTGTCTCTGCAAGATAGAGCCATGATCCAAGATAACTACTACACCCAGGATTGTTAGGTTATAGTTGGTGCGCATTAAACAAAATCTTTACCACGTGTATGACTTTTTTTCTCTTGCTGTGATAAAACACTCTGACCAAGGGCAGCTTAAGGAAGTAAAGGTTTATTTCAGATGCCGAGTCATAGTCTGTCATTGAAGGAAGTTGTGGCAGGAGCTCAGGTGGGAACTTGAAGCAGAAACTATGGAGGAATGCTAGTTGATGGCTTCCTCCCAGGCTTATGCTTGGCTAGTTTTCTTGTACAGCCCAGGACCACCTGCCTATGGAATGGTGCCGCCCACAGTGGTTTCCTGTAGCAATGATCAATCAACACAATCTCCACAGCATGCCACAGGCAATCTGATCTGGGCAGTCCATTCATTGAATCTCCCTTCTTAGGGACTCCAGTCTGTGTCAAGTTGACAGTTAAAGCTAACTAGGACACTAGACAATTGCAATGTTTTAAATCAAATATGGAACTCTTAACAAATACTAAATACACACTGGGCCAGCATCAAAGAGCTGATCATATGGTTACTCTTCTTGGCTGATGTGTTGAGATCAGACAGCAACATAACAAAAATACTTTATATGTTTGGAAATTTGACAACGGATTAAAAAATCGTTGATAAACTTAAGAACTCACCCATATTGAAAAAGAAGTGAAGCTGAAAAGCTGACCGTGAACTTTGTGGTGTCCAGTTGGAGCTGTCCTTGCTAAGGCCGACATGGGATGCTTCCGAGTCAAACAAACCTAAAGAAAAATCAAAGGAAATAGTAAGTCTGCATGGAAACTGATGGACTGGGGAAAGCAAAGAGCTCCCTGACGAAGAGAAGTGAAGTGTGGAACTTACAAGTTCACTCAGAAGAGGAGGGGAGATGCTCGGTGCTCAAAGTGCTTTTCCATAAGAAGAGGGCCGGAGTTCAAATCCCCAGAACCCATGTAAATGCCGGGTTAGTGTGGAGGCCCACCTGTAGTTCCAGTCATGAACGGCAGAGGCAGGGGACCCCAGAGCTGGCTAGCAATGCTAGCCATCACCTGCAAGTTCTGGGTTTGACTGAGTGAGCCTGCCTCAGTGAATAAGGTGGAGAAGTGTGGGGGATGAGTCCTGACATCACCCTTGGGCCTCCACATGTGTGTGTGCATGCATGCACACACAAAATTATGCATACACACATGCACACCCCCCCCCCCACAAAACCACGAATACACTCATGCATGCCACATACACATGAAAAAGCAAAAATGATTCCTCGGATATATGATATAAACTATAAGTGGGTTTATAAGTTTGCAAGTACTACAGGTTTTATAAAACATTAAGAAAATACTGCAGGTAACATTGTGTCTATGACATTAAACTAAAAAGTAATAACGCCCAACTGTAGTGTATAAATTCCTTTCTCTTAACTGTGTATTTTTTAATTTTTAAAAATTACTTAAAATTTGTTTCTTATGGGTATGGGTTTTTTGCCTACATGTATGTCTATTACCATATGTGTGCCTGGTGCCTGTAGAAGTCAGAAGAGGGCATCAGATCTCCTGAAACTGGAGTTGCAGATGGTTGTGAGGTGCCATGGGTGCTGGGAATTGGACCTGGGTCCTCTAGAAGAGCAGCCAGTGATCTTAAGTGAAGAGCCATCCCTCCAGCCCTTCACTGTGTCTTTACACATAAATATCCTCCAGGGATAAGTGTTCAGAGGTTTATGGCGGTTCACTGTGAAGTAAGACTCTCAGAGTTCATTATTTTCATTTATCCAGGTTTTCTAGGTTCCAATACAGGTTTTTTGATGTTCTGTTGTCATGGTGTGAATTGCTGTACAAAGCTATGGTGTGCTTCTGTTTCGCCTGTACTTTACATATGATAATGTGATAGGTGTGCACCGCCATGCCTGGCTTAAAACCTTTTTTTGAGACAGAAACACAGGGCAACTTCTGAAAGTCTCTACTGTGGTTTCTTGGGATCGAACACAAGGTCATCAGACTTACTTGCCAAGGGTTCTAACTACTGAGCAATCTTACTGCACAATTACTGGTTTTGTTTGATTTTAGTTCAAGACAGGATCTCTCATATCCCAGGCCTTGAACTTCCTATTCTGTCAAAGATGACCTTGAAGTCTTGATTCTTTTTTCTATACCTCCTGGTACTGGAGTTATGTATTATAGTGTGTGTGTGTGTGTGTGTGTGTGTGTGTGTGTGTGTGTGTGTGTGAGACCTTGAGTGTGCTGAGACCTGGCATGTTTCCAGTGTCCAGCACAGGTCCACTACCTGTGTGTATCCTTGTCAACTCTTGATGAGGTCGTCTGAGCTCCCGTGTGCTGTGTTAGTACTATTAGTATTCCTGTGTTAGTGTCTCCTTCCTGCAAAGAAGGTTTTCAGCCCTGCGAATCTCACATGCAGCCATGCTTCTGCTTCCTGGTGCCACAGGTCAGTTTTGCTTATTTTGTGACCCCGTATAAAGAGAAAGGCAGCCTTTCTGGTTTCTTTTGTTCAGGGTTGTGCTTTGAGAGCCATATGTTGATCTAGCTGATGTTTTTTTTTTTTTTGTTTTGTTTGTTTGTTTGTTTTTTAGACAGGCTTCTTTGTGTAGCTCTGGATGTTCTAGAACTCACTCTGTACACCAGGCTGGCCTCGAAGTGCCCGCCTCCTCCTCCTGAATGCTGAGATTAAAAGCATGTGCCACCATCACCCAGCAAGATGTTCTTTTCATTGCTGTATTTTATTAATTGTATCAAGGGCTGGAAAGATGGCTCAGTCCGTATAGTGCCTGTTTTGCAAGTGTGAGGATCTGAGTTCAATTCCCAGAATACAGACTTAAAGAACATGGCATGATGGGGCATGCTTGTAATTCCAGGGCTGGGGAGGCAGAGACAGGCGGATCCTTGGGCTCCCCAGGAGCCAGCCTAGCCTACTTCATGAGTTCTAGACTAGAAAGAAACCCTATCTCAAATATAAATAAATGAAGGAAGGAAGGAAAGGAGGAAGGAAGGAAATAAATAAAAAACATAGATGAATGGCCCTTGAGGACAATACCTGAGGGTGTCTTCAGGCCTCCACGTGCTTGTACACAAGCACCCACATACACATGCACATCACCATAAAAACATACACACACACGCACACACACACACACACACAGAGAGAGAGAGAGAGAGAGAGAGAGAGAGAGAGAGAGAGAGAGAGAGAGAGAGAGAGAGAAACACACAGATAAGCGTTATTAAACGCCCTCACCAGAGCTCTGTATCTTTGTTCCACAAAGCAATGTGGAATGTGGACTTGAAGGCAAAGGGCCCGCTCTGACCTGCTGTTTTGTGTCTTCTCCCACCCCCTCGTCGATGGTTTCCAGTGAGATGAGTCAGAAAATGGCCAAGGAGGGCCCCAGGCTCTCCAAGAACCAGAAGTTCTCGGAGCACTTCAGCATCCACTGTTGCCCACCCTTCACCTTCCTCAACTCCAAGCGTGAGATCGTGGACCGCAAGTACAGCATCTGCAAGAGCGGCTGCTTCTACCAGAAGAAGGAGGAGGACTGGATCTGCTGCGCCTGCCAGAAGACCAGGTGAGCGCGGGCTCTGGGCCAGGTCTGCGCCACGTTCCCCTGTGACTGTCAGCTCTCTGTTAGGAAGGCAGGAGGGCAAGCAGAGGGCGGGCGGGCGGGCGGGGCTTTCCTGCTGTCTCCAGCTCCTGCCAGCAGAGCCCGGGCTGCAGCCTCCAGCTTCTTTTGGCCCTCTCTGCACCAGCCGCCGTGCCACGTCCCCTCAGAGGCCAAAGCACCAGCCAGCTGCGTCCCCCGTGGTGGTCAGAGCGCCGCCAGCCAAGCCAAAGTCCCCTCCGAGGCCAGCCAAGCCAAGGTCCCCTTCGAGGACTGAGCGCCAGCCGCGTCCCCGCCCAGAGGTCCGACCACCACCAGCCAAGCAGAAGGCCCCTCAGAAGTCCAAGCAACCGGCACGCAGCAGCCCCCTCAGAGGGCCAGGCGCCAGCCGTGGGGGGTCTCCCACCAGAGCTCCTAGGTTCTGGTAACACCATCTCTTGCCTTTTGTCCCCCCTAGCCTAAGGTCAGTAGCGGCTCTCTGCAAGTACTAACATGGGGGATCTCTCCACAGTGCCAAGCCTGTGTAATCCACTCCCTTCATTAAACCCCCTCTGTTTGAAACACCTGGCGTGGCTTCTGTTTTCCTCCCAGATGTTACTGTCCACACTTCAGAAGGCTGCGTTTGTGCCATCCCACAGGACTGCAGGCCACTTACTTACCAGCTCATTCTGTTGACCACAGTGGCAGGCTGACATATGAGTCAGCCCTTCCCCTTCCCGTGCCTCAGAGAGGAGGAGAGGTGATACCCAGGAGCCATATCTGTGCATGTGTGAAAGGAGAGGGCCCGCTCACCCTCCTGACACATTCCATCATGTATTAGCCTTAGTGGCAATGCCACCCATTCGTTCACTCGGTCAGTCACTCAGCAAAGTGTACTGCCTGTCTGTAAGGTTTTATATGCTGTACCGGGGAGAGGAATGTAATTTGTGACTTCTGAGTACCAAGGAAGAGACTAGCTGGTCATGGTGTACAGAGTAAACACTCCAATACTGCCATAGTCAGGATGTACATGGCCTATGGGAGCCCCAAACAGAGATGTACCAGCTGGTCATGGGAGTCTGAGGCGTCACAGAAACTTGTGAGTGGGCAAACTGGAGGATGGCCAGAGAGGCATCTGTCCATCTGCTCTGCCTCAGGTGGACCAGTTTCTTGTCTTCTTTTTGAGTCAGGGTCTCACACCTGGCTAGCCCAGCACTTACTCTGTAAACCCACTAAGATCCTACTGCTTTAGAGCCCCATATGGTTGGATTATGACATGCCTGGCAGTCACCACCCCTCTTCCTCCTCCTTCTCTCCTCTTCTCTCCAGACTTTATTTTTTGGTACAGTTTTAGGTCTACAGCAAAACTGAGGGAAGACAGAAACTTCTCTATTCCCCATCTCTGCCCCCCACCCCCACCCCATGGCCGACAACAGTTTAATATTTGGAAGTAGGTTTGTTTGGTGAGTCAGTAGTGAGCACTAGCTGTGACTACCCCCTCTCCACTCTGCTGCTCAGCCCCTGAGCAGCATTCCAGAAGCCCCCTGAGAATCTCATTCAAGGGTCACCAGTGAATCTTGGGGGTGTCTTCATCTTCAGATGCAGCAAACAAGCCTGATTTAAATATCCCTAAATAAGTGACCCACATCATCTGTGGCAGCTGCCATGTTTGTGATACCCCCAAATGAAAGCATTGGTGAGGGGCCAGGTCAAATGATTTACCTAGCAAGGGCACTAACTGGCTACGGCTCACTAACACCTTAGCAGAGAGGTGAATCCAGGTTGACTGGTCACTAAATCCCTCCAAGGGACTGCAGTAAATGGTTGGTTCAGCCGACTGACTTCTGATACACAGAGAACGTAGGGAGCCCAGGACGTTGATTTATAGAGAAGAGGCAGTCCTTCATGGAAAGTCAGGTGATGGCATTTTGAGTGGTTGGAGTCCAAGCTGGAGTGGAAAAGAAGAGAATAAACTCCATCTCAGACACAGGTTTGTTTGGACCCAGCCTCGCTCACCATATTCACCAAACTCAGAGACATCAGCCAAGGTGTCTCCACAGACTGTGCTCTCCCACCCTGGACAGGACCAGGTCCCCAGTGTCCTGTGGCTCTCACGCTCCCTCTGAGCCCCACCTGCAACACTCATTTTCTCTTCTCTGATCTCAGAGGTCCTGAGGCAGTGCACCAGAACAGATATTTAACCACTGCACTGTTTATTTCCTTTATTGACCTGATTGACTATTTCAAATCGGGGGCGTAGGAGGCACATTAACAGGGAAGAACTTACAGTCCATCAGTGCAGCTAGGGCAGACCTTTGAAAAGGGTTAAAGAGCCAACATGCTTTCAGATAGGATGCTGTTCCTGAGGTATTGTGTGGAGAGGTCAAACAATTTAGACAAAGGACTTTTTGGATCTACAATAACTCTTTTGAATAGGTCTTTTGCAGAAACCAGAGAATAATTTGGTTTTAGAAATGAATGGGCTTAGTTTTCAGAATCCTTAATGTCAGGATCCTAAGATTACAGAGCTGCCACTGAAAGACACTGTCACTCTCTGAGATCAGATCCACAGCCCAGAGAAATCAGGCCACAAAATTAAAAAGTACCTTTTTGTAACTTCAATTTCCACTGTTCATTATTACTATTGAAGATAATTTACTTTTGCACATTGATCTTATATATTGTGATTTTACTTATTCTAGCTTTTTTTTGGGTAGAGTCTGGATTTTATACATCATAATCATGTCCTTCAGTACAGACAGTTGTGCATTTTTAATTTTTTTTTAGACAAGTTTTCTTTGTTTAGTTCTGTCCTAGAACTCACTCTGTAGCCCAGGCTGGCCTCAAACTCACTGAGATCTGCCTGTCTCTGCCTCCCAAGTGCTGGGATTAAAGGTGTGCGCCACCACTGCCCAGTGCATTTTTTGTTTCAATCTGTATACCTAGGTGTGTATGTTTTGACCTGTTCTCTGTGCTGAAAACACATTTTGAGGTATGGCTTGGTATCTTCAAGGTTTATTGTCAAGAATGGCCTCAGACATGCTTTGGATTACTGACAGAAGTTCTAATCCCTGCTAGACTTTCTGCGGCAGCAATTGCCAATCATTAGATAATGACATCACCCTGTTATTCAATGAGAGACACGCACTGGAGTGCTTGGACTCAGTTTATGTGATGAATTCAACTCTGAGATGCATTTAGAGGCAGCCTGTTCTTGGAGGGAGCCCACACTGCTGTGCAGACCTTCCGTGAGTGGATTTAGGGCACGTGCTTCCCCAACCCCCATGGTCCTGAGCTGTTTGTTTCTTCTGCTCTGCTCTGTGGGAAATCTTTGTAACTTTAAACTTTGAAAGCTACACCAGAGCAAGATGGGGGCATTTTACACGAGGATTGACTCTCGTGGGCCACCACCCTCTAATCTTCAAATGATGTGTCCGGGATCTCCTGGAGGCAGAGTGTTCCTCTTTTGAATCTAGGGAGTTGCCAGTATCATCAGTGGTGAGGAGCCCTGGCACAGCCCTTTGTCTCATGACCCCTCACACTTCCTGCTGAGCAGACGTCTGTCCTCTGCTGGGCTCTCTTGACACACCTATCCTCATGCATGGATTTGTTTACCTCTATGTATCCCTTGCAAGACTGTGTGTAGTCAGACTCAGGCAATCTTATACTCTTCTCTCCAGAGCCTAGCTCAGGGTTTGGCTGATGTTAGTGACTGAGACCAAATGATATACCTCACAGTCTGACACAGCTCAAGGTGAAGGACTTCAGCATCAGGTTTGAGTCCAAGCTTTTAGATAAACTTGCGACCAGTGCTTGTCTGGGGCCACATACTTGTAATCAATTTATTAAATGTTGTTTATCTTTTTGAACGTAGTTCATTCCTATCAAATTAGGGACACACCAACCTGGTCAGAATTTTATAACTGAGTTCATATACTCTACACATATGTGCACACATTTACATCTAAGTCCGTGGTATCAGTTACTGTTTTCATTGCTGTGATGAGATAACTGGGAAAGCGACATTAAGAAGGTTCATTTTGACTCACAGTTTGAAGGGACACAGTCCATCGTGTGTCAAGGTATGGTGCCAAGAGCATGAGGTGGCTGGTCACATTGCATCGTCAGTCAGGAAGCGGAGAGAGATGAGTGCTGGTGCTCAGTTACTTTCTCCTTCACATTCAGTCCCAGGGCCCCAGCCCATGAGCTGGTGCCCCCCACATTCAGGCTGAGCCTTCTCGTTTAAACCTTTGTGGGAACACCTCCTTAGACACAGAGGTGCATTTCCTTGGCTTCTCTTAAATCCAGGCAAGTTGACAGCGAAGCTCAGTCATCACAAGTTGTAAAATGTTTTTGTTTCTGTTCTAGGGTAGAATGTATTGTCACTGCTATTGTGTTCTGTGTTGCAAATTTGCTTACAACGAGTGGCCAGAAAACCAAAAATTATTATTATGCATAGAGACAGGTGGACTTAAAAAATATATATTTCCTAGGCTCAATCCAGAAAAAAAAATTGTGTCCATTTTGACGAGAGACTACAAGAGTTGAGAAACCAGAGAGAGGTTCTAAAGCTGGATTTCTGAGGAGAAAAATAAAGTCACAAGTTTTTACTCAGGTCTCAGTGGTTAAATGCCCTTCTTGCTCTTGGAGGACCTGAGTTCAGTTCCCAGCATCCCACATGGGGGCTCAAAACTGTAACTTCAGTTCCAGTGCCCTCTGCTGGCGTCTATGGGAACTGCATGAATGTGGTACACACACACACACACACACAC